TTTAAAGATCTCCGGCGACGTTTAAACGACGGTGAGAAAATGAGGAGGTTTACGGCGGTTAATTCATTGCTCAAACGGAGCAATTACCTTCTCCAGCTCCAGCGTCATGGTTTCTCCCAGATAGTAGCTCAAAGAACAACCTCCGTTCACGAGACCGAAACAAAAATACCGAAAATGCCCTCGTTTGATTATTCTCCGCCGCCTTACGACGGTCCTTCCACCGCAGAGATCATCGAGAAACGGCGAGAGTTCCTTAGCCCCGCTTTGTTCCACTTCTACAATACACCCGTAAAACGACGTCGCTTTTCATTCTCCCTCGTAAAACGGCGACGTTTTTGCTTACTCTGTTTTTTGTTTGTTGGAACAGTTAAATATTGTGGAGGGAAAGATGCAGTATGTGTTCGACGAAACCGGACGGCGATATTTAGATGCTTTCGGAGGAATTGCGACGGTTTCTTGCGGCCATAGCCACCCGGAAATAGTTAAATCGGTCATCAAACAGTTAAAGCTTATTCAACACTCAACAATCCTTTACCTTAACCATACCATATCCGATTTCGCTGAAGCTCTAGTCTCCAATCTTCCCGGAGATCTCAAGGTAAACAAACAAAAAGGACTACTCTTTTGAGCTGTGTAGTAAAGATTTTAGTATTAGGGCTTGATCGATGACTTGACCTACAAGGCAAAAGAACATGGCTATGTAGGTGGTGTTTTTCACAAATTCGGGTACGGAGGCGAATGAGCTGGCGATGATGATGGCTAGGTTGTACACGGGATGCAACGACATCGTTTCGCTTAGGAACTCTTACCATGGAAACGCAGGTGCCACCATGGGAGCAACTGCTCAGTCCAACTGGAAGTTCAACGTCGTTCAGGTTATTTATCCTTCTCATTTCAATTTAACTATATGACATATTAATTGATAGTTTATGGATCTTCAATTTTGGTTTCGGTTCCACTTGTAAGTATATAATCTTTATTTTATATAGTTGAACATTTACTTGGGATGTTCAATCGAGTTAAACAGGACCGACACATAACTAAACACAACCTACTCTGAACACCTAACTAATTTCACTACCATTAAAAAGTATTGAGTGATGTACATGAAAACAAAAGCCGAACCGTATCGAAAAGTCGATCAAAGACTTCAATTGCTTCGAGAATGAAAAACTTTGATTAGAATCTGGATCCGAGAAACAGAATCGGAAAAAAAAAAAAATCAAAATGGAATTAAATTACATTGAATTTTGGAAACTACAACTCAAAAACCAAAAATAAATATAAGACCCCGTATGCATCGGTTTAGGTATGGTTTCATATCCAGTATAGAAAAGTAATGTTGTGTTGACAATAAATATAGGTTTTATTACCAAATCTAGTTTTTTTCCCACCTTTCGGGTTAAGAACCAACCTACATGTTAAATTTTACAAAGCATTACTTTTGTAACAGAGTGGAGTTCATCACGCCATAAATCCAGACCCATACAGGGGAATATTCGGTTCGGATGGTGAAAAGTACGCAAGGGACGTACACGACCTTATCCAGTTCGGAACTTCGGGTCAAGTCGCCGGTTTCATCGGCGAATCTATCCAGGCAAAGATTAATTTGTAACATTTTTTTTCAGAAAAGAGTTCAACGACGATGATGAACATGCAAAGATACATATATATATACGTATGGATTTTAATGAAATAGTCGGGTTGGTGAAATAGGGAGTTGGAGGAATCGTAGAGCTTGCTCCGGGATACTTACCGGCGGCATACGATATTGTGAGAAGAGCCGGAGGAATTTGCATCGCCGATGAAGTCCAATCCGGTTTTGCTCGTACCGGAACCCATTTCTGGGGATTCCAATCCCACGGTGTTATCCCGGACATTGTTACAATGGCCAAGGTTCACCATTATGCATCATTATCATTATGCATCGATAATATATTGTGGTATTGAGTTGGAAACCCATGAAATTTTACCATCATCGATCCTAATTTGACTTGGCTACATTTATAGGGAATTGGGAATGGAATCCCACTTGGAGCAGTGGTGACAACACCGGAGGTAGCCGGCGTTTTAAGCCGCCGGAGTTATTTCAATACATTCGGTGGAAACCCTATGTGTACGGCCGCGGGACATGCAGTCCTTAGAGTTATTCACGAGGAGAAGCTCCAAGAGAACGCTTTCCTCGTTGGTTCTCATCTCAAACGTAGATTTACACAACTCAAAGACAAACACGAACGTGAGTTATTGTCCAAATTAAAATATATAATTTTTTAGTAACTTTTTTGTTGATATGTTTTCTTTAATTTCTCTATTGTTTTTAGTCATCGGAGACGTGAGAGGAAGAGGATTGATGCTTGGAGTTGAATTTGTCACAGACCGTGACTTAAAAACTCCTGCTAAAACAGAAACTCTTCATTTAATGGATCAAATGAAAGGTTAGATCCGATTATCCAAATCAACCAAAAAAAAAATCTGATCCAAAAACAGAATAAGTCTTAGTTTGGTTAAAAGTGATGTTTTAGATATCGAAAATTTAAAACCTAACCGGAACCAAAATTTATTTTCCTTCAAATATTGAAGATATACATACCACCATAAACCAAATCCGAACTATAGTAGATTTGGTTACTGTTTCTCCAAACAAAACAACATCTGAAAATTGATCACTCTAGACGTGTGTTTATGCATTTGATATATTGTGTGTTGATATAAACCATTTTGCTATAAAAGAAATGGGAGTGTTGGTGGGGAAAGGTGGATTCTTCGGGAACGTATTCAGAATCACTCCTCCTCTCTGCTTCACCGTCTCCGACGCTGGTTAGCTCCATACATATAGACTCGCTTTTATGTTACTTAATTATAAACATGTTCAAATTGGTATCTTCGTTTACATTCGTTTTATTTATTCAAAACTTTAATACTCTTTCAAATCTTTTATTTTGTAGATTTCCTTGTTGATGTGATGGATCACGCCGTGTCCAAGATGTGATTAACTCTTCTTTTCTGATTTTTCTCATGATCATTCACCATCATGTGTGTATGTATATAAATAACACAATACAGAAAGTGAAGTTACAATCTGTATAGTTCTTAAACAAAATAAAAAAAATTACAATCTATATATAAAAATTCGCTAGTTTTATTCCTTGAATGGTATACGAAC